TTGAGTTCGGTGACTTCCCAGGTGAACCTTCCCAAACACACTACTGGAGTAGGAGGGTGTGAAACCCCATTGTGTTGGAATAACAATGATTAGCTGGCAGTGATTTAATGGAATAATTTGGAAATAAAACTTAATCCAAATAGTTTCAGTCTTTTAGCCCTGATGAGGAAGTCTGAAATGAGTGCTTAGTGCTTACTTGTGTGTTTTATGGGCTTTTATCATGTCTTAATTAAACACCAGGAAATACATTTCAAAAACTAATGTGCAACAATAAAATCATGACCATGAGTTTCTCATCCCAGTTCTGTAGGGTGTAGCCAAATGACAAAGAAACAAATGGTCTTGTAACCTAGATAAGGAAAGCTGAATTTACAAGAAGGTGACTGGAATTAGAAAATAAATGCCTTTTGGTTTTAAGAACCATGAAACCCTGCAAAAAGCAGCTGCCTTATTCTGCAAACAGCTACATTTCAACTTTGAAATCTTCAGGTGATCCCACGATACTGTAACTCCTGTTAGTCAGGATGCATCTCACTCAACTCATTGCAAATGAGGTTGATGAATATCTTATTAAATGGATAAAGAATCTTGCAGTATCAGCAAAGGTTAATCAGCCAAGAGAATGCGTGCGGTTGGATCTTGTTCCTTTTTGCGTTTTAGACCAGTTTTCAGGACAAGGATATGCCTCACTTCTTAAATGCGCAGGAACATTACCTGAAAATGCCTTTAGCTGAACCTGCCTCCTTTCAGACAGTGTTCAGATATTTCCCCCACTTGCAGGGGTTTCGCCTTGTTATTGTAATGATGCAAATATCCAAATGTATCTTTCTCTGTGTGACCAGTCTAAGGTTATTTCCAACCTCCTCTCTCATGCTTTGCATCACCTGATTGTATCATCCAGATTAGATCATCAAACCCGGATGGATTTTTGAGACAATTGGCAGTGGGTTTGGAAAGCAGAGGCAGTATAATTGCTGATGGTTATTTTAGATTTACGCAATGGTATTAGTGGTCTGGAATATGCTGCCTGAAAGGCTGATGGGGAGAACAATCCCTTTCCACAGAGAAGGAAACCAATACAACGGTGACATTAGCAGGACTGTGGGGATAGAGGGAGCAAGTGGAACTGGTCAGGGAGCTTCTTTAAAGAGCCAGCCGAGGCCGCCTCCTGTGCTTTAGGATTTGGTGTGTATTCAGAGAAGGCGGAAAAACACTCAGACTCAAATGATACGATCTATTCTGATTTGTCTTTTGATTTGAATTAGGCAGTTCAGGTATGATGTGACACGTGTCTGGGGTTTGAACCCAGACCTCCTGCCCCTGAGGTAGGGATACTACCACAAGAGCCTTCTGATTCCCTCACACATTACAAAGTGGAGGTCCAGTGTGACCACTTACAAGTCTCACTCTTTTCTTTATCCTGGGCTTCAGTTTAAACGAGTCGAGGGAGGAGTGCCAGATGTTTTTGATGGAAATCTCCCTTTTTTTCCCTTTTTCTTTTCACATAACTTTGAATCATTCCCACCTCCCACCTCCCTTTTAAAGCATCAGGCTGTCACCCTACTTGTTGAATCTTAGATTTTCACAGAACGAGGGGAGATCTGTAAAACACACTAAACCAATACTTTGGCTCAGAATGTTTTGTCCCACCACATGCCCTGTGCACCTTTCAGTGTCAGAAAGCTGTGTTTTGTCAAAACCACTTAGACCGTTGCTCCAAAAATCTGCCTTTATCTACAACGGTACGTAACCTGTTCTCGTTCCTGTCTGGATCTCATATTTAAGTTTTCATTTCTCATGTGACTCTGGCCTGTGCATTATTTCTCTGTATCACTTGTTCCTTGTGTATTAGTCTGGATTAGTCAAAGTATTTTTATTGTCTGAACCCAAACTTAGAGTTATACAATAAATGGCAGAACCCTTAGGATCCTAGAAAGTGGCAACATTAGTGGATGAGCTGGTCAATGAGGCATACAGCGTACTTGCCTTCATCGGCCAGGGCATCGAATATAAAAGTTGGCAAATGTTGTGAAGTGGGTGTAGTATTTGTGGGTTGGAAGGCAGGACATTAGAATTTGTTTTTAAAATGATATGGGGGAATGTTGCGTGGTCCCTTTTTAAAAGATGTGTTTTTTTAGGATTGGAGATTTTAAAAATGTCTGCAGGCAGCAGCTGATGCACAGTTCTTGAAATTGCAACTTTGTTTTAAAAGACTATACTGTTAGCAGGCAAAGTGGCATTTTTACCAAGATAATGGGTTTTTGAATTTAACCAATTAATTTAAACCAGGGCCTAGAATCCAAAGCCCAGTAAATTTAAATCTGATGGTTTTGACAACCTCGGACCAATCCTATTGTAAGAAATTGATAGGTCATCAAGGGCGTAAAAGACGAGAGCATTTGAAATTCGGGGTGAGAACAAACTGCCATCTGTTAAGAGAACAGCTTTCAACAGCCATCAGTTCTAAAGAAAGAGAAAATCACTGGCTGTCACAGAAATCTCTAAGATCTGAATAAGCTCCATCTAAATAAAGGTACTACAGCACTCTTAGCTAGTATTCCTGACACATGAATTCAATGGAGGAAGGCGTTCCTGACTGGAGGACAGCAGAGAAGGCAGAGGACATTCCGGAAGATTTATATTGGCTATAATTTCAAGAGATTAAGCTTCAATTTTTTTTTATTCATTTGGTTTATTTGAGTGGGATTTGTATCTATTGGAACAGCATACCAATACAAGTTTCTTTTATTCAGGAATAGTTAAGGGGCAATTGTTCAGTTTGTTGTTTTGTTAATTTGTTCACTGTTAGAGTTAGATTAATAAATTGTTACTTGTTGATTATGAAGTGAGTATCAGGGATTTCTTTCATTTAGCCACCCCTTTAATAGATTACGAGACGAGGCGAGCTTCTCTGGGTGTTTGTTTTAATTGTCAGAGAGTGTTGACCACTCCTTCATAACACAAGTTATGTTACAGCTGTACAAAACTTTAGGCCACGTTTGGAATATTGTGTGCAGTTCAGAAGGACGTGGATACTTTGGAGAGGGTCCAGAGAAGGTATGCCAGGATGTGGCTGGTCTGGAGGGTTTTGGTTATGAGGAGAGGTTGGATAAACTTGGATTGTTTTCACTGGAAAGACAGAGGCCGAGGGGAGACCTGATGGAGGTCTGCAAAATTGAGAGGCATAGATAGGGTGGATAGTCAGAGGCTTTTTCCAGGGCACATGTTCAAGGTGAGAGGGGGGGAAAGTTTAGGAGAGAGTTACAGGGGAAAATGTTTCACACAGAGAGGGTGGTTGGTGCCTGGAACGCACTGCCAGTGGAGGTGGTGGGAGCAAGTACATCAGCAACGTTTAAGGCATATCTTGATAGACACATGAATGTTAGGTGAACAGAGGGATAGAAATGGTGTATGGGCAATAAGTAGCGGGTCTAAATAAGGATTAGGAATTGGCACAGGCTTGGTGGGCTAAAGGGCCTGTTCCTGTGCTTTATTGTATGGTGTTACGGACCTGACCAAACCCCCTTAAAATATATTAAGACAGCCTATACTCTAACATTTTCTTATTTTGCAGGCCAGTGCCAGATGTTATGTTCCGAATGCATTTGATTGGTCAAACTTACCAGTCTTAATGCAAAATACACTTTATTCATGCACTATAGTTAAAATACAACAAAAGAAGGAAGAAATTAGAATAACAACTCTATATTGGAAAACTAAACGGAATAATAGATTATTTAACCACTAAACAGTAACTGTTCCAATATAGTAACATCCTAAACATACACCCTTGGCAAAGGCAAGTTCAGTAAAATAGATTGTCTCGCAGGCAACTTTCCTGTCCAGGAGAAAAAACATCAAGAGAAAACTCGGAGTGAGAGAGAGTGTAACGGAGAGATATACTGCAGCTTCCAAACCAGCTTAAAGGTCCCAGCAACTGCTTCTGAGAAACTAAAACTAGAAGTCCTGGATCTGTTGAGTTTGACCTCCATTCATTCAGGCCGTTTCTATTATTCTAACTCCGTTTTTAAAAAAAAACCCAAGGCGTCTCAAACTGTTTACTGCAGTGGCTCTGGGTAGACTGCTTGATACCTCTCGCTGTCAATCTTTCTTCGTAAAAAGAAACCAGGACACAATACACTTCTTAAAGTCACAGTATTGTCACTGTTGCATTACATATTAACCCTAAAGAACTAGAAAAGGAAAGACACGGTTTTGTGTAAATGAAAGGCTGTAAAGGCAGTAATTTTTCCAACTTTGCACTCTTGGCTTGATGCTTGCCAATTGGCATCCATGCTCCTGGGGAAATTGGTGCTGTCCAGTGTACACGTTCTCTGGGTCATTTCGTTAATTGTTGGGAAGTATTTGCAGCGAGAGACGTAGCTGTTGCTGCAAAGCCAGGAGATTTCACCCTTTTCCACCTCTACTTACTCCCTCCAGTCTCTTCCCTCCTTTGGTTTTTTTTTGAATTTGAATTTTACATATGTTTCAGCTGATGTTTTACTTCCAAGGATCATTTCAAAATTCCTGATCACTGAGGAATTTTCTCACTTGGATCCAGCTCATAACTGACGGTGGGCTATTCCCTTTGTATTTCTTGGCAGTTGCACAACGATTTGGGGAATGTTCTCTCTTCTCTCTTCTCTCTCTCTCTCCTGGAGGTTAATTGAGACTGGCAACTGGGCTAATGCTGCACTTTCTTATCCTAATGCCTGAGCTATTCAGTCCCTGTTTCGTGTTGATTTTGTGCTCTTACCATCCTGTGAGAAGTCATTGAACCTGTGGCTTTTGCTGACGAGCAAAGTGCTGTTTTAATTCGGAGTTGGTTCACTGTGCTTTCTTTCATCCACCTTTCTGCAGCTGTTGGATGAAAATATTTCCTGCTTCACTTTTGTTCCGGGTGTAATCCCCGCCTCTGAGTCTTGGTGTGAGTTGCACTGTGTAGTACCACCTGACTGAAGGAAGCAGCTCCTCCTCCTGAGCTGAGTGGTTTAATTTTTAACGTAATTTCTGATCCTCTTATTCTGGGAACATGCCCGCTTCATAAGCGAAGCCGTTTGAACAGGGGCTGTTTATTATCAGAGCAGGTAAATGAGGGATGTTGCTCTAGGCTGTGAACACGCTGTTATTTGTACTGGATGATATTGTAATTCCCAATCTTGAAGCAAACAGATGAGAGAGACTATGAGAATCATACACTCTATGGGCAATATCAGCAGTCCTACACGAAATGGTATTTCCTGGAAATGGTGAGTGTCATAGTTTTGACGTCCTGCAGTATGTTTTAGATGTTTGTTTTCCCAGTCTATCTGGATAATCCTGCTCTGGTTTTAAAATGTGATTTCAAAGAAGTTATCAATGTCAGGAGAGTTGCCTGTGTTGGCGCTGACCACCTGAAATCCAAGCAGGTATTGTGAGCTCACTGTCACAGAATATGTTTACAAAGCAAAAAAAAACCTGCTACTACAGCAGAGTGTGAGATAGCAAACTGTGACCCCACTCCAATTTAGGAGAGGAACTTTTCCATCAGAGGGAGAGCTAACTTCTGGGGAATGACAGGGCATCAAATCTGGGTAAAATGGAGCCAGACTGAGGGATTTATAAGGAAGTGATATTTCAGGTACGGGCTTGGTACACTGCAATTGGAGGGAAAGGCAAGGGAACTAATGTGTTCCCTCAGATGCTGAGGGAGATGGAGAATATGGTCCATTAAACAGAAAAGGTTGTGTGATGAATGTCAGATGAATTCAGGTTTAGTGTGCTGAACACAGTGACTTCAGAAGGTAAATGAAGAGTAAATAAGGTGGCAAAGTAAAGATCTGAGAATACAATGACAGAAGAAGGGCATTCAATCCATTGTGTCGTATTGTCTGTCTCAGTATTTTGACTTGGTGTCAATCTCTTGCCTGTTCTCTGTAACCCTGCATGTTGTTTCTATTTAAATAATTATCCAATGTCCTGTTGAATGTCTCGCTTGAACGTGTGAAAAAGCATTTTCCCACTTTGCATTTGTTTCTTTTACAAAACACTTTAAATCTGTACCGTCTGGTTCTTGATCCTTTTACAAGTGGGAATAGTTTCTCCCCATTCACTGTCCATATTCTTCATGATTTTGAATACTTTTGTCAAATCTCTTCTCTCCAAAGAAAATAGTCCCACTTCCTCCAATCTCTCCATGACTGAACATTCTCATCCCTGGAATCTATGTGCCCTCCAAAGCATTCACACCCTCCCTAAAATGTGAGACCCAGAACTCCACACAATATTCCAGCTGGGGTCTAACCAGTGGCCTTACACTGTGCTCTTACGCTCTACGCCCTTATTAATGAAGCTTAGAATATTGCATGCTTTATTAACAGCTCTCTCTGTCTGGCACCTTTTTAATGACTTGTGTACAGATACATCCTATACACCCTTCAGAATGGTACCGTTTGTTTTAAACTGTCTCTCCATGTTCTTTTTCCCCATAATGTATAACCTTTCACTTTTCCACATTTAAATCTCATCTGCCACTTATCCACCCATTCCACCAATTTGTCAATGTCCTTCTGAAATCGTCACAGTTTGATTCTCCCAAGTTTTGAGTTGTCTGCAAACTTTTAAATTGTCCCCTGCACACCAAGATCTGAATCATTTACGTATATTAAGAAAAGCAAGATACCCCAATTCCAATCCCTGCCGCACTCCCCTACGCACCTTCCTGCAGCTCGCAACATACCCGAAAGTTTTCAAAATCATGAGGAGTCATGAGAGAGTGGATGGAAAGAAAACTGTTGCTGCTTGCGAAAGGATCGAGAGCCAGAGAGTACAGATTGAAAGTGTTTCTCGTCCCACAGCCAGTCTTGGATCCATGTTCCTACTGTCCCCCTTATTCTACGACCCTTGACTTTCCTCCGATTGTATGGCACTGTATCAAAAATCTTTTTTGGCAGTCCAAGTACATCTCATCAACAGTGTTACCCTCATCCACTCTCTCCGTTACCCCTTCAAAAAAAACTCCAGTTAGTTTGTAAATAGTAAGTGGCAGGGTGTAATGTAATGGGGATAAAGAAAGTGATATATCTGTTGAGGCGCAGAGCAAGACTGAAGTACTTTGTATCAATAAACTCCAAAAGAACTGCGGATGCTGTAAATCGGGAACAAAAACAGAAATTGCTGGAAAAGCTCAGCAGGTCTGGCAGCATCTGTGAACAAAAATATAAGTTAATGTTTCGGGTCCAGTGACCCTTCCTCGGAATCTGGACCCCAAATGCTGATTGATTTTTTTATTTTCTACACAGATGCTGCCAGACCTGCTGAGCTTTTCCAGCAACTTCTGTTTTTGTACTTTGTCTATCACCAGCACAGAGGAGGACTCTGGCAATTTCTCAGTAGAAGCAGAGATGTTCGAGGCAAGGGCTGGGGTGAGCGTTTCAGTGCAATGTCCCAGAGAGACTGGTTATTCTCAGAGTGGCTAAGTCACCTGGTCTGATGTCTGTGTCTCAGGATCCTGAAGGGAGTGTGTGTGGAGACAGCAGAAGGCTTTATCACAATCTTCCCTAAGTCCAGAGGAGATGATCCAGACTGGAGAATGATAAATGGGATCCCCTTGTTCGAGGAAGGGTTTCAGGAGAGGCCTGGTGACTACAGGCTGTGTCAGTTTTGGATAAAGTGATGGATAAAAAGTTTCAGAAAAAGTGATCAGGGCAAACGTTAATAAAGACTCAGCTTTGAGTCAATGGAAGAGAGTTGACTGGGGTTTGTAAAAGGCAGACTGTGTTTGACTGATGTAATTGTTTTTTTGCGAAGTAACCGAGTAAAGCATTGAAGGGAATGCACTGAATGTGAAGGAAAGCCTTTGTTAATAAGCGAGTGGAATTGCCACCTGAGAGGTTGGTGGAATCAGAGGTGATCAATAATTTCAGCAAGAAATTGGAGGGACACCTCCGGGAAATATATTGACGGGAGTACGGAGATCGATGAGGGTCAAACTGGATTATTGCACGCTTAATGGCCTGGACGCGATGGGCTGTGTAATCTCATCCTGTGTCCTTGTGACTCTCGGCGAGACTTCTCAGCAATTGTTCACTTTCTCACCTGGAGGAGTGTTTGTTCAGGGCTGGGGTTCAACCCTCTGTGATGGGGACAACAGATCAGGCAGTGTGTGTGAGGTCGAGTAAGTTCACTTTGCCTCCTCTGTGAGAGTGTGTGTGTGTGTCAGTCTCTAGCTGGGCCATTATTACCTGCCCCTCCTTGGTTTCCCTTGAAGAAGGCAGAGGCCCATTTGTTTGTCCATCTGTCATTCAAGTAACTTTCTGCCAATTGAAAATGCCCTCCATCTGCAAGGAGATGATGTATTAAACCCCTGAACAAAGGAGAGGAACTGTACTCCACATTGGCCTTGTCCTAATGGCCACTTGTTTTGTGCAGCTGCAGCACATTTTCACATTGGTCCTCTGTCCACAGGCCCTGAGCTTCTGTCTGACTCTTATGTTGCTAAAGATGGAGCTGACTGCATTGACATGGAATGCTCCAAACAGTTGGACTGTGATGTATCACTTGCCCTCCTAGAATCATTCAATAGAAAAACACCTTTGCTGATTGGATGGTGGTTGATGTGTCATATCCTGAGTAAAGGGATTGGTGGAGCCTACTGGATAATTCCCTGAGTAGATGGTCAGCATCATTTGGGCAGAATGCCACTGCCCGAGAACCAGCACCAAGCTGTGGAGAGGAAAAACCTTCCTGTCAAACCCAGAACCTCATCCTGTCCACACGCTGCCCTCACAATAGGGGTGAAGAGGGTTTTTCCTTGTGGAGGTTCATCCTGAGCAGCTCGGGGAAAGCAGGACTTTGTGCTGTACTCTCTTCTGCAGATTGTACTTCAAGTTAAACGTCAACTGTGGCCGGAGGACTAGCAACTCTGTGAAAGCTGCTGTTTGGTCTGTCCCGGGGTGTGTTTGTCTGTCAAGTGTGAAGCACTGGCAATGACTGGCACATTCCACGGCCACAGGGCTACACACTGAGGGGCGCGGTGGCAGGAACTGCCAACGGGTGATGGGGACAGGCTGTTCAGCCTGAATGTACCAAGGGACTGGGATTGGGGTAAAGCCCTGTGTGTTTGACATGAAGTGGATTTTGTGAATCTAAACTCTTATTTATTTCTGAGATAGCAGGAACTGCAGATGCTGGAGAATCCGAGACAGCAAGGTGTGGAGCTGGATGAACACAGCAGGCCAAGCAGCATCATAGGAGCAGAAAGGCTGACGTTTCGGGCCTAGACCCTTCATCAGAAATGGGAGAGGGGAAGGGGGTTCTGAAATAAATAGGGAGAGGGGGGAGGCGGATAGAAGATGGATAGAGGAGAAGATAGGTGGAGAGGAAACAGACAGGTCGAAGAGGCAGGGATGGAGCCAGTAAAGGTGAGTATAGGTGGGGAGTTAGGGAGGGGATAGGTCAGTCCAGGGAGGACGGACAGGTCAAGGGGGCAGGATGAGGTTAGTAGGTAGGAGATGGGGGTGTGGCTTGAGGTGGGAGGAGGGGATAGGTGGGAGGAAGAACAGGTTAGGGAAGCGGGGACGAACTGGGCTGGTTTTGGGATGCGGTAGGGGGAGGGGAGATTTTGAAGCTTGTGAAATCCCCTATTCCCAATTCCTTCGCCTCCGCCGCATCTGCTCCCAGGATGAGGCTTGTTTTTTAAGGACCGCAACTTCCCCCCCCTCAGTGGTCGAGAACGCCCTCAACCGTGTCTCCCACATTTCCCGCAACTCATCCCTCACACCCCGTCCCCGCAATAACAACCAAAAAAGAATTCCCCTTGTCCTCACGTACCACCCCACCAACCTCCGGATCCAACGCATCATCCTCCGACACTTCCGCCATCTGCAATCCGACCCCACCACCAAAGACATCTTTCCCTCCCTACCCTTATCTGCCTTCCAGAGGGACCACTCTCTCCGTGACTCCCTTGTCCGCTCAACACTTCCAGCACCTTAGTTATTTCTCCCCGGGATGTGAGTGTTGCTGGGTTCGCAGTTCTTGTGCTTGAGAAGGTGTTGGTTATCATATCTTGGACTGAAACAGTAACAAAACTTAACTTTACAAAGATCGAACAAACCTTTTGCTGCTACATGCACAAACTGACTTTCCATCCCAGTCAGGCGATCCCACAGGCAGTACAAAGAGAGCGTTTGCAGTCTTGCTGCATCGAATACTCAAGACCATTCACAATCGGTTACAAGAACAATATTTGCTGCTTTGTTCACCCAGATCAGCAATGGCTGCTCTCCCTGTTTAATTTACATACAGGCCCAATTTGGCTCACCTGTGCAGTTGTTCCTTAATGTCTTGATCATGCAGTTCCTTGGTTTTTGCCTCACTTCCCCCTTCAGGTGACGTCGTGCCTACTGACTGAGCCACACACTTGGCATCTTCCTCACTTATCAGCCACATCCGCAGCAAAGCAAGCAGCCCGCAGTTTGAAGTGAGGTTTTAGATTTGTAAGGGTAGAGATTTTCAGCATGTTTTCATGATGTGAATGTGCATAATATGTGAGCTGGTGCCTTCAACCACTGCACAGAGTTCGGGAACAGCCAGGACGTAGTTTGGGAGGGAGTTCCAGGATTTGGACCCAGTGACACTGGGGAAGCAGTGATATATTTTGTAGTAAAGCTGATGGATGGCTTGGAGGGGAGCTTTCAGATACAGTTTGCATGTATCTGCTGCCCCTGCTCCTGATGGTGGGTATTGCTGCTGGTATTGTAAATGTGGTGAGAAACCTCATTGCTGTGTACAATATTAATGAACCTGAACTGCATTGTACTTTACTGTCAAGTGTCCTTTTCACCTCTGGATCCAGGAGCGCCGTGCTGTCGGAGGGTCAGCGCAAACAGATTATTAGGCTGTTTACCTCATTATGTTTTTGGTCAATTTTGCTATGAATGAATTATCCATACATCTCCACAAATTATAACAGGAGCTAAACACTAAGATTGTGTGTTTGCTGTGAAATGCTTTGCAACATCCTTAGGATGTAAAGGTGCTATATCAATGCAAATTTGTTTTATTTCTCTTTCATTTCCTTTAAAACTCCAGCCCTAAAGTTTAAAAACAAACTTATACACTTCTGAAGAAGTGTCTAGGCCCGAAATGTCAGGTTTCCTGCTCCTCTGATGCTGCTTGGCCTGCTGTGTTCATCCAGCTCTACACCTCGTTATCTCAGATTCTCCAGCATCGGCAGTTCCTGCTACCTCTACAGCCTGATTGGTGGATTTAGGTCAACCAAGAGTATTCCTTGCCAGTCCTGGTGCCTTGCTCTGTGCTCGAATGTCCCCAGGTGCTGGCTTTCTGTGGATCATCTATCATTGTCTGAGGAAGGGTCACTGGACCCGAAATGCTAACTCCTCACGAACCCCTTTCATTAGAGGGTGCAGTCATGCTGTAACATGAACTCCCCTACTCGTGATGTATTTGGACTCGCTCAGAAGCGGAATAGAAGAGATGCTGCCAGACCTGCTGAGATTCTCCAGTGATCGTTGTCAGTACTGATCACAGAGAGGGGCGTGCTTGCAAACTCACTGCTTGTCTCTTTCCCGATGCTGCATTTCCCGATGCTGCAGGAAGTGACTGTGCTTTCTGTCGTTTAGAGAGGAGTCTGCTGAGATTAATGGGGTCACCCAGGTCAATGGCAACTGGGATCCAAAAAATAACAAAGTCCTGCATTTATGTAGCACTTTTCACAATCATGGGACATGCCCAAGTGCCTTGCAGCAAATGAAGCACCATGTGTCATCACTGACATGCACGAAATGCATTCACTGTGCACAGCAAGATCCTACAAGCAGCAATTAGATAATGATCTGATCATCATTTTGTGTGATATTAATTAGGGAAGAAATATTTCCCTGGACACTGGGGAGATTCCCCTGCTCCCCTTCACAATAGTTCCCCAGGATCTTTTATGTTGACCTGGGAAGGTGGGCAGTCCTGCCCTCTCAGTACATGGGAATCACCAGGGAAACCCAGTCATTCGCGGGGAGACCAATCAGGGAAAAGTGGAATGGAAGGAAATGGTGAGTAGCTCCTCCTCCAATCACCTGGCAGCTGGTTTACCAATCAGTAACAAAAGCAGGATAGAAGCAGCCTATGATTGGAGGAGCAGCAAGCTGCAGGGTAAATCAATGCTGACATTGAGTGGGGCTGTGTGTGTGTGTGTGTGTGTGTGTGTGTGTGTGTGTGTGTGTGAGTGAGTGAGGTGGGATGGGGGGAACCGCATTTTACTGATGTCAGGAGGGACACTGGAGAGTCACCTCTTGACACCCCCCACCCCCACCCTAAAGGACAACTATTTGCCCATTGGGTCACAGGTGTGGGGGAAGAGAGAGGGTGTCTGCAAAGAAGGGAGAACTGTTTCAAACCTGTCAAGAAAGAAGTACTTAGCTAAGCAGGTGATCGCATGTCCTGAAACTATTCCAAACAAATATGGAGTCTCTAACTTAAGGCTGTTTATGATCAGGAGCTACACTATGGGGAAGGATGTAGTGGATGCTATTACAATAAACACTGTGAATTCTAAAATGGAAATCTGAGATGCAGTAAACGGGCAGTACTTTAACAGGTGCTTGGTTTCCAGCTTTGTGCATGAATGATGGAAACACATGAGCTATGTTCTCAACAGTCTGCAGACGGCATGTTGGAGTGATGGCTTGTATGGAGAATTCTGTGCTAGTCCTTTTGAAACAAAAAACTTTTGTGGCTCACTTTTATATCAGTTGTGGCTTTTTGTTTAATGGGCAGTTGATAGTTATTGAGGATATTGATGAATTCTTCTAATTCTGCTCCGAATACCTCACGAGTAGGGGAGTTCATGTCACAGCATGATTGCACCCCCTAATAAAAGAATTGGTGAGAATCAAAACGTTGTCCTCAAAGTTTTTTTAAAAAAAATACACCTCTCAAGAGGAGCCCATGGGGAGGAAAACCCATCCTGTGCCCTGCTTCTCTCAATACTGTAGTGGAGTGTCAGCCATACTCAGCTGTCTGGAGTGGGATTTGAACCTGGGACTTCCTAAGCCAGAGGAGAGGAGATGCTAACCACAGAGCCACAGCTGATGCCTAATAGCACAACGCTGTCTTTTGCCGTCCATATGTTCGTGGCCCAGCCGTTGCCTTCTGGTCCCAAGTAGGAAAAGGCACCTGGTGTCTGAAATGTCAAGTGGCAGGAGTCTGCATGTTGCAATGTCACATCAGTGAGCTGTACTGGTGCCTTGGTCTGGTCTCTCATACTGGTCCAGTACAGTCAGTGGCTCGGCCAAAAATCAGCAAAAGTCTGGATACCCCAATTTGGGGAACGAGCAATAAAAGTTCTCCTTGGCAAATCAGGAAAGTTTATTTTGGGTTTAGTGTCCGGACCAGAGAGATGTCGTGCTCTCTGTGCTGAATCGCTGTGGTTGTGATTTGTAGATATTTAATGGTGAAGTTGATATTAACTGAAGTTTAGTCTTCAATTTTACTGCTTAACAATCATCTCACTATATTTTCTCACTCACCCAGAGACGGAATTATGATCAAAAGATTGGAATCTGCAGTGTTGGACCAATGAAATTCCACGTGGATTTTAGGGGAAAAAATCATTGGAGGATATCTAAAACCTGGAGGTTAATGGATAGTTATTTTGCCTCAGTTTTCACTGCAGAGGGTACCAGAGAGGAAATAACATCAGGAAGAAAAACGAGATAAGTATTCCAACAGTTAAAATGGACAGGAAGGAGAAACTAGGCAAACTTGAGGAAGACAGAGCCGGGATCTGGATAAATGGATTACAACCACAGATGTTCAAAGAAACTGGGTAGGAAATTTTAGAGTCGCTAACATCCAAGTATTAAAATGCAGCGAAGGGTAGGAAATAGCACTGGAGGACTGGTTATAAGAACATAACAAATAACAGGAGTAGGCCATCTGGCCCCTCGAACCTGCTCTGCCATTCAACAAGGTCATGGCTGATCTTTTCATGGACTCAGCTCCATTTACCCGCCTGCTCACCATAACCCTTAATTCCTTCATGGCTCAAAAATCTATCTATCTATCTTTGCCTTAAAAACAGCAAATGTAACACACAATGGTGATCGAGCTAACTCCAGGAGCTGCAACCCAATCAACTATGACAAGAAAGATTCTAAAGTCTTTGCTGAATTATCATTAATAAAAGGCCATTAACAGAGGCTGTAACCAAAATGTAGTTGGCACATATGTGAAGGTCACATTCGGTCAACCTTCTGACATCTGTGAAGAAATAAAAGCTAAAGGTAATGCAACAGATGTAGTTTATGTGGAGTTGACGAAGGCAATGACATAAGATGACATCAGATACTATTAGAATATCCCACGGCGGTTGATTTATTTGTAATTTTTTGCAGGGTGTTGGCTCTGCTGTCTGCGTTGGCATTTACTTCCCATCGGTTAGTGCTCTGGAGAAGGCGGCGGCGAGCTGCCCTGTAAACAGCTGCAGTCCATGTAGGGTAGGGGCTCCCACAATTCCCTCAGGGAGGGAATTCCAGCATTCTGACCCAATGGCAGTGAAGGAACGGCGATATATTTCCAAATCGGGATGGTGAATGGAACTTTCGGGGGGTGGTGTTCCCATGTATCTGCTGCCCTTGTCGAAAGAGCGTAAGAAATAGGGGCAGGAGTAGACCATGTGGCCTCTTGAGCCTGCTGCACCATTCAATAAGATCATGGCTGATCTTTTCATGGACTCAGCTCCACTTACTCGCCCGCTCACCATTACCATTAATTCCTTTACTATTCAAAATTCGATATTTGCCTTAAAGGCATTCAACGAGGCAGCCTCCAACTGCTTCACTGGGCAGGGAGTTCCACAGATTCATAACCCTTTGGGTGAAGAAGCTCTTCCTCAACTCAGCTCAAGCCGGGGGCTACTTTATCCCGGATGGTTTTGAGCTTCTTGAGTGTTGTTGTTCTCGATGGAAGCGTTTGTGGGTTTGGAAGGTACTACCTGAGGATCTTTGGTGAATTTCTGCAGTAGCAGCACTGTGTGTACTGAGCGTCGGCTGCTTTGTCCTGGATGGTGTCGAGCTTCCTGAGTGTTGTTGGAGCTGCACTCATCCAGGCAAGTGAGGACATAGGCCGGAAAAAGTGCAAGCAAAATTATCAGTTTATTGAATAGAAATATTACATTTATGTTAAAATTTGATTGGACCTTTGAGTACTCTCAGTTGTATGCAATTCGGGTTGTCATTGTTACAAAAAGGATTTACCAACAGTGGAGAAAATGGGTTTTTTGAGGATTCATCGATCAGGAAATTTTGAGGAAACTCTGTCTCTTTTTGGTAAAATCAAGAGGAGACCTGACACTTAGTTATTTCCTTACTGGTGCTGGACCAAAATATGGATCAACCTGCAGGATATGGAATGTTCTAGAAGACCGCTGATACTGCCTGCTCCAAGGCGATTAGTGATGGATAATAAATGCTGTTCTAGCAAACAACACCCATGTCGTGTGTGAAATTAAGCAAAAAACAATTCATGTCTTTAAAAATCTGAATTGGGTTCAGTGAGGTGAACATGGAGAAATGACTTCCACTTGTCAGTGAGTTGTGAACAGGGGAGAGTCGGTGTAAAATATAATGACATTAGGAGTCATTTATTTGTACAAAGTGAGGATGTTGGACGCACTGCCAAATGGAGTGGTTAATTGGAAACATGTCACTGGCCTTCTCATAAATACGTGAGAGAGAAGTGGATCCAAGGAAATGGGGGCAGCAGGCTCATGTGAATTTAAATCCTAGCAAAGATGCGTTAGGTGAAAATACCCTTCCTCGTGGTGGAAATGGGACATAATTCACTACATTTTGGCACAGGAGCAGCAGAGAGATGTTTGCGATCAGATTAGGTCTTGTGTAACTGTGCAGGGCTGATAGACAAGACAATGAAAAGGGTTTTTCACAAATGAGTATTGAATACATCGGATATTCAGAATCTACATTCATGAGGCCATCACTGAGCAGTCCATCCCAGAAACTATGGTGGAGCCATTGAAAAGGTTCAAGATTATTTTTTTAAAAAAAAAACCTATAGCAGGAAGGGAATGTTGTACTTGCATCCAAAACCTAAAAAATTGGAATTTTTCACCAAACAATTAAGGGACAATCTAATCGAATCTGCAAGATGTTGAGTCCAAATAGTGTAAAAGTATTTATCGTTCATTGGTAAATAGCTATCGTGGGAAATGGTGTTGTCGGATGACTAGGAAGGGAGAGTTAAAATTTTTATTTCATATAGGATTATTAGAACATGGAAATAGCTTGTGATGTAGTTTAAGAATTGAAAGATTATTTGTGAAAATGAATATAAAGGGGAATGGGATCAGTGTATGTACAAGCAGAGCTGGTTTACAGAACCAAATGCCTTCTTGCACTTAATTACTGATTCCATAATCACTTTGTTTGTTTAGAAGCTGAGTACAACATTGTGCAGAACAAAAAAACCGAAAGAACTGTGTATATAGGAAATCAGAAACAAAAACAGAAATTGCTGGAAAATCTCAGCAGGTCTGATAGCATCTGTGGAGAGAAATCAGAGTTTACACTGGGTCCAATGGAGAACTACGGTTCTGAAGGAGGGTCACCGGACCCGAAATGTAAACTCTGAATTCTCTCCACAGGTGCTGCCAGACCTGCTGAGATTTTCCAGCAATTTCTATTTTTGTTTCTGATTGTACAGAGCCATAGATGTACAAGAGCAGAAAATGCAATGGTTTCAAATTGAGTAATGTCGGTCAATTTGAGAAATATTACATTAAGTTTAAAAGGGAAACAGCAGCTATCAATAAGGAATTGCAGAAAGGGAGGTAGCATCACAGAGCTCAGTCACTTCCCACTGCCGCAGTCTGTGTTTTTCAGACGCGCCCTTCCTGTTCTCCATCTAAGTTTTGGCTTTCCTTTTAAAGTTTCACGTTCTCCATTGGGTGAAGAGTTTGAATAAGTAAGGCTCCCCACAACTTGTTGGAAAATGTCATTTTGAACTCACTGGCACTAGACCAGGTATAAGTTGAATGATCAAAAATAGCTTGCAGCTAAAAGGAAGGATGGTTTGTCAGGAAGGTATGGGAGACCACAATCTTAAAGGGCTTTGAAACCTTCAGCACAGCTGATGGATAATGGAGGTCACCAGCACAAGTGGGTGAGTGAACAGTTGCTGCTCAGAAAGATGTGACTGGGAGAAACTCTTGGATACTGCAGAACCCAGGAGGCAGGCTCCTGCTAAATTGCAGTTGAGTGGTGATGGAGAGAAGGTACTTTTCTTCGTCTGTCAAGTCACTGCTAAAAATGTCTCTATCAAAGAATGATCCAGAAACACCAACAAATTGCTGGAGAAACCACGGAAGAAACTGGCAGCATCTGTGGGGAGAAAACCACATGAATGTTTCAAGTCCCATGTGAACTTCAGAATTTCTGAGGAAAGGTCCTGAAACATTAACACTGTTTCTCTCTGCACAGATACTGCCAGATCTACTGAGTTTCTCCAGCATTTTTTTTGTTTCAGACTTCCAGTATCCGCAGCTCCTTGTTTTGTGAAAGAATGATACAGTCCCAGTGTGTCTGCTGTAGCAGTCAGAAAGTTCCCCTGTTAGTCTTGTTCAGAACGTGTTTTTGTGATGACTTGCTGGTTGGTATGAACTTGTCCAAATCTTCTCTCTCCTCGATTTTATTTGCAACTAAAAAGCAATCAGAAATCTGTTGGTTTTGTTTCAAACAGGACAACAAATGTGTATAATTTCTGTAAGACTCAGGGAGAAAGCAGGAATAGGGGGCTGAGTTTAAACGATCACATTGAAGGAGGCTCGAAGGGCCGAATGGCCTATTCCTGCTCCTGTTTTCTCTGCGGGACTCTGTGTAGTGTTGTGCTAAGGAGGCTGCAGAGGTCACATTTAGGATGAGTTCGGCATTTCAATTAACCCCTTGGTGATGCATGATAGCAGACCCAGTGCAAGATAATCCGTTTTCCGTATCGGGGAAGGGCAGCAGACTCTGCACCCTCTTGTACTGGATATATTTGGCTCTATTGCATTAATCTGAACTCTCTTTGCACAATGCATTGGTTCTCAAAAGGGTTGCCAAAAGTTCAATTGCATTAGATGTAACTTTTCAAAACGTATAAATCAATGTTTCATTTGTTTACCCAAGCCTATAAATTCCAGCATTAATTTAGTTGCAACATCTACAGAAGATCATCATCTTAAAGAGGTATACATTAGCAAGGGAAGTTTAACTCTGTGCTTACTGGTGTCAACTGTGACTCAAGGTCATGTTCTTGCTTGTGGGTCAGATGGTTGTGGGTTTGATCCTGAGGGAGTGCTGCACTGTCAGAGGCTAATGTCCTTATGTATTAATCGCAGAAAGGTAGAATGCATGTACAGCAAGTAATTAGAAAAGCTAATGGAGTGTTATCATTTATTGCAAGGGAATAGGTGTACAACCGTAATGCTTCAGATATACAGGCCTCTGGTCATAGAGTCACAGAACCATAGGGCTGTACAGCATGGAAACGGACCCTTTGGTCCAACCTGACCACCTAAATTAATCTAGTCCCATTTGCCAGCATTAGGCCCATATCCTTCTAAACCCTTCCTATTCATGTACCCATCCAGGTGCCTTTTAAATGTTGTAATTGTACCAGCCTCCACCACTTCCTCTGGCATACACGCCATATCCTCATTCCATACACGCACCACGCCCTGTGTGAAAAAGGTGCCCCTCAAGTCCCTTTTTAAATTGCTCGCACCTGGCGTACTGTGCAAAGTATTGGGTGCCCTCTTTAAGAAAAGATATTAGAGCATTTTGAGGCAGTTCAGGGGAGGTTTACCAGAACACAACTTCACCTGGTGAAGGAGCAGCGCTTTGAAAGCTTGTGTTTTCAAACAAACCTGTTGGACTATAACCTGGTGTCGTGTGACTTCTGACCTTGTCCACCCCAGTCCAACAGCGGTGCCTCCACATCAAGAAGAATACCTGGAATGAGAGGATTGTCTAATGAGGAAAAGCTGGGCTTGTATCCACGGGAATTTAAAAAAGCAGGAAGTGACTTAATTAATATAAAACACTCAGGATCTTGAGCAGGTGGATGTGAAGAAGAAGCTTCCTGTGTGGGACAATCTAGAACTAGGGATCAATTTTAAAACTGAGAGGCTGTTCATTTAAAATGGAGACTTGGCAAAACCTTTTCTCTGAGGATTGACAGTCTTTAGAACTCCCTCCCTGAAAGGGTGGGGAAGCAGATTGCTTTTTAAGGCAGAGGTTAAGTGGGTGAAAGGCTGTGGACAGGAATGTGGATTTGAGGTTACAATCAGATCTGTCATGATCTTATTGAATGGGAGAATACGTTTGAGGGGCTGAGTGAACTACTCCTGATGCAAAATCATAAGAAACATTGAGAATGCCGGAGAAACTCAGCAGATCTGGCAGCTTCTATGGAGAGAGAAACAGAGTTAATATTTCAAGACGCGAAATAATAATTCTCTTTCCGTGTGTCTCCACAGATGCTGCAGACCTGCTGAGTTTCTCCAGCATTCTGTGTTTGGTTCAGATTCCCAGCATCTGCTGTATTTGTTTTTACGTCTGATTTACATCTGACTCTGGACCCACAGGATTGTTGTTGACTCTCTCCTGCCCTCTGAACTGACCCTGGCACCCAGCCAGCGATGCCCACATCCTAGAAAGGATTGTTGGCAACAAACAGGCTCTCCTTCTAGCAGCACGTTCCTGTTTGACCTGGGACAGGTTTTTAACAAGGAACAATCTTGGAATGCAGTCAGAATTTTGGGAACTTGTGTCTGGATTTTTGGAATGTGTTTGTTTGGGAACATCACAGATTGAATGGTTGTAATTTTTGGATCTCTGGCACAAGGAGAACTGCCAATGACTCAGGGACTATGGCCAACTAGATCGGGGACAATCATGCCAATTGTAGAAGTAGTAGCAGTGAGATAGTGGGTCAAGTCTGGGATCTTTCTATTCCGTCTACTTCTCTTAAGTAGCTGAGACCTTCGGACAACATTTGATTTATTTGTCTATAATCTTTCTTCTATGACCATAAACATGTCAAGTGTTGTTAAAAGTAGTTATGTGATATTAAAATTGGCAGGCAGGACACTTAGACTTAACCCTTGAGTTTTGATGATCCAACATGTCAGTCGCCAATAGCGAACCGAGTGAACTGTACATTTGCTGCTGTAAAAATGGATATGAAAATTGGATCAACACATCCAAACATTCTATCGTCGTGCTATTTCGTCTGAACCTAATCTTGAGCTCTTAGCCACCTGTAACACAAGCTTTAAAAGCAAGAGAGTAGAGTTGTCAGTTATTAAAGCTGGAGATCCAGAATAAAAATGGTGCAGGAAACACTCAGTACCTCAGGCAGCATGTGTGCAGAGAGAAATTGTGCTGCTGTGTTCAGTCAGATACAATTTCCCGTTACTCTGCTCTTCCAGTTATTCAGGGTGACCTGATCCTGCTTCTGCACCTTTTGTGTCTTTAGTTTGTTCTCTTGTCCATTTCTCCACAACTGCAAAGTCACAGCTGACCTTTCTCCCACAGTCTCCACAAAAGGAACTGCTCTGACCAAGCCTATGAAATACCATCAGTTTGATAAACACATGGCAATCAAACCTTGGGCGAAGGGAGTGCCGTGTTGTCAGGGGTTCCGTCTTTTGGCTGAAATGTTTGCACTTTGTTCATTGGGACTGGTTTACAATGTCTTCCAAGCCACTGCCTGCCCAACGTGAAAGCTGTATGATGAGTGGGATGTTTACCAACTTAGATTTGATCAAAATAGTTTCTGTCACTGAGAAGGAACACTGCCTGTGACTTTGCAGTTCTTGCATCCGTTGGCAAATTGGTTTTCAACATGACTAGCCTCGCTGACCAATACAGCCAGAGGCATTCACAAATGCAGTTTTCATAAAAGTTGACGTCTTATGCTGCTGCATGAATAAGGCAAACATGGCACCAAATATCAGTCAGTATCTGGTTTTAAGAGGAGCTGACCCATAATACAAGCAAGGAACAGGAAGTTGATATTCAGCTTTTGATTCCTGTGCAGGAGGAGTGTTTAGAGAGAGATGTTTGATACATACACAGTTGTGATTGTTCTGGTACTTTGCCACAAACTTTAATCTTTCTTTTAAATAAAAAAAAAAAAACCCTTTTTTTGATCTTGTTGGACTAAATCTGGGTGTCCCAGTTCTATCTTGTATCAGCAGCTATGTTTTCCATTGTTTAATGAGGGCGCGGAGTTTTGGTTCTGATCTATTGATGAAAAGAAGCCGCTTAACTGAAAGATGTCTTTTGGCTTTGCTCTCTGCCTTGCGTCCATCATCGGTGGACGTCATCCTGAAAGCCATGTCCCTTTGTTTTACCTCAATAGCAGCAACCTTTCAAATTATAGCGAGATTCTCAGCTGCAGCTTGAAAATACTGAGCAAATTCCAATTTGCTTAGCCCTAAAACAGGTCTGCTCTGAGGCTGTGTTTTCTAATGTGCAAAGTTCCCTGAGAAGGGAATAATTCAACACTGAATTCAACTGCAGCTTTCTTCGTGAAGACTTGGTGCTTGCCATTGCATTGTGTGATAACTGAGTCCTTGTAAAACAACATATTGTGTAACTGGGAGCATTACGACAAGTGACCAGCCCCTGGAGCAGAAATGTGCACCTGTTCTTGGAGAGATGTTCGATAACAATACATTAATTCTATTAAATGTTTCTGGTGATTGTATTCAAGTTTCAGCAATCCCAACACTCAGACCTTAATATTTGGTGCCAGCTATTTTTGGGGTATTCAGTCTATATCAACCAGTATGATTATAGATGGTGTAGGGTAAGTGAAATTGTGTTAAAACTCAGAATCGTGTGGAACCTGAAGGCGTGTAGTCTTGGGGCAAGTCGTAGATAATTTTAATCAATCTGTTCAGAAACATTATTACGTGCCTCTGGAGCATTTGAGACTTGAACCCGGACCTTCTGGTCCAAAGGTAAGGACATTGCCACTGTGCCACCCTGTTTCTCATTAGGACACATTGTTCAACATCCCTGTAGATATCCTCATTAATGCTGTTTGTGTGAACACTGACGTACTGCATTCCAGATTAATGGAAACCCAGCATCTGTCTCTCAGCCATTTACGTTAAATGTACCCTGAGATATGAATTTGCATGGCATTGTAATACAATAGTCCTGGGATTGATTAGCATTTGGAATATAGCAGCTGTGGTCTTGGGCAAAATCAGCACAAAGGAATTGCGAGGGAAATGGGGGTGTGGGGGAGGGTTATGTTTGGAGAGAGAAAAACACCGTTATGTACAGAAAGGTCCAATTTGTGAAGACATTGCAGATTTGCAGTCTTTTTATTCACTCACAGCATATGGGCATCAGTGGGTGGGCCTGCGTTTATCAGTCCCTCCCTGACTGTCCTGGAGAAAGTGGGAGTGAGCTGCACTCCATTTTAGTGTAAGTAGAACAACAGTGCTGCTGGGGAGGGAGTTCCAAGATTCTGACCCATTGCCCAGTGCAGGGTTTGAAGGTAATTCGGGGTTCTGGGTTACTGGTTTGGAGAAATGAATGCAGTGAATGACCCAGAATTGATGAACTGTTGTTCAAACGTGTCTCATTTATCACAGCAGTTTACCTCCCCTTTTGTTAAATCAAATGTCTTCTTTCCACCCCCCCACCCTTCACCCCCACCTGCCCCAGCTGGAACTGATAATTGCTTCCAGCTAAAAAGCATTAACTAAAACCACACCATTTCGTTACAGGCACATTCAGGATCCAGCCAGTCAGCGGCTAACATGGAGTAAGCCTCCGACGAGTATCCTAGTCATTAAAAAGATTCAAGATGATCGTCTCCTTCAACCATTTAAGGATCTCTGTATCTTCCTCATGGAGGTAATGTGTGCCAGTGATAAGAAATGTTCAGGCTGCAATATGGCAGGAATATCCTCGATTTATATATCAGTTTGTTTAAGTAGTTATTGATGTTGGTGATGTTATGGACTTCACCTACAAGCGTTGCTCAGTCACCTCGTGTTTTGGCCTGACTCTGAGGAAAATATAATCCTCAATCTGCTGTTTCTATTTTATTCATCTTTAGGAGAAAGATATGATTGTTTATGTAGAAAAAAAAGTACTTGAAGACCCCACCATTGCAAATGATGAGAGCTTTGGACCTCTAAAGAAATTGTGTACTTTTAGAGAAGGTAAAGGCATTGCTGTTTGCAAAGCATCATTTTACTACTTTGCTACTTTGGAAGTTTATTGCCCAGTGAACAATCCCTCCTGCCCTAGCTCTGCTGCTTCCTTCCCTGACCACCCACCACTGTAAGGTTTAGCTCGATGCTGTTTTTGCACTTTGACCACAGTCACCAGGCAGCATCCCATCAGCTCTAAATTGAGGACTTTTCCTCTTTTGAGCTGTAGCCTCTGCTTGAAGATGTGCTGTTTTAACTTTTTAAAATGTTATCCCTTTCAAATTGTACTCATCAGCATCTTGGTCCTGTTCTGTAAGAATTGCCTCTGTGCGGGGTAATTAAAGGTGTAGTGGCATCAACCAATTAAATTGACCGTTTTTCTAAGGGTGATCACGCTTTGAATATTGTGTGCTGCTCCAGTTGCCAAGGAGCTGTAACATGCTACAGGCAATCCAGCAAAGAGCTTGACTCGGGGTCAGGCCGACAGTTGGCCTGCGTTAGGGCAGAAGGTCGTGTGAAATGTGTTGTTCAGTTTCGGTTAGAAGTGTCTGAAAGCTGCTGTTGTAGATCTCTTCGTGACAGAGAAAAACTGTTACCAAAGGAGTTAACCCAGAATATTACTCAAAACTGCAAGAGTAAAGCTGGAACAAAAACAGTTCAAATCCAGTCACAGGTTATTCTGAGATGATCTGTTCTGAAATTTACCCTCCGATACAGAGGGACTCGCATGTAAACTTACAGCGCTCGTATAGTGGAGCCAGAAACCACGGGATTCCTTATGAAACAACTGGACGCTGCATTGTCAGAGATGTTAGAATCCCCCTGCATGGATAACTTTAATCTTTGATAACTTTTCTACGATCTTTATTGTGATCACGGTACTTTTAGACAGGACGCACAGCTTGTATATTCTGTCTAAAAGTCACGTGTGGGCCTTCAGTCCCTAAATGTGTTGTCTGTCCATGCTGAGCAAACTTTACGAAAGGCTCACAAAACTTTCTATTTGTTATGAAGCCTTGTAAATGAATATCAGATGTTGAACATTCATACTGCTACACATGGTCCAAGTTCACATGCGCTGTCATTGAGTAATATTATCAGAGTCCTCCTTTCAGCACTGAGTATAAGGTAGCAATGTTTAAGAACGTCCTGACATATCTGTCAGTCACTAAGAAAAACTGCCATTTATACAGCATTATTTTATAACCACAAGGTGTGCCAAAGTGCTTTGTAGCTCTTGGGAATCTTTTGAAATGTTGTCACTGTCTTAATATAGTAAACAGGAAGACCAATTTGTGCACAGCATGTTCCCACAAATAACAATGTGGTGATAACCAGAAAATCTGTTTTTGTGATGTTGTCTGAGGATAGCTATTGGCCAGGCACTAGGGAGAACTAGTGTTCTTCTTCGATATAGTACCTTAAGATCTCTTGCATGCACATGAGGTAGCAGACAGTGCCTCGTTATAATGCCTCATCCAACATCTCCAACAATGCAGCACTCCCTTGGTATCACACCCAGAGCAAACTTAGATTTTTCTTTTCCAGTTCCTGTGAGAGAGCTATCCTCTGAGCCATAATAGTCACTCTGCTGGAGAATGATTCGAAAGTTTGCAACCTTGTGAATATATCTAAACATCTCCTCTTGTTTTCCCCAAAACGTGCAAAGTAAAATATGACTTGACCATAGTTGTACAATGCGTAATAATTACACCAGACTTCAGGTATGTTATGTCCTTTAGGGAAGAAAATCTGCCATCCTTACCTAGTCTGACCTATTCGTGACTCCAGACCCACAGCCTTTGGGTTGATTGTTAATTTTCAGGGATGGACAATAAATTCTGGCCTAAGCAGCAATGCCCTCATGCCATGCATGAATGTTTTTAAAAATAGAATTAAAAAGGTTATAATCTATAGTTGCATTGCAGTATGCTGCACTGCTGAAGGAACACAGCATTGTCTGTTAAATGTGGTACTTCTCCAGGCTCCCCTCTGGCATGGTGAATGAGCGTTATTCTGAGTTGAGCAGGGGACCCGTTCCAGATCATTGTTCCTCCTACAAACAAAGCCACCAGAGGAGCAAAGCCATCCTGTATCTTGTTGTAGTATATTTCTAACAGTCACTATGCATCAAAACATAACTTTGTGTGAGAAGCGATTTATGATGTTCCTGATATAAAAGAATACAAATGTTCCTTTCTGTGTGGGTGCCAGAACGTACATCACCTGCAATGGAACATACAGTTTCCACGTCAACAAAAACAAATGGGTTTCTGCAATCAGTATGCTGGTTCTTGGCCTTTACACTGTGTTATGGGCGTTAACACAGTTGGATCTCCTCCCAGCAGATTCATAAAACAGACACCCAGGATGAATGGTAAATGGAAGGGTTCATTTTGGCCCATCACTGCCAGATCATGGCATTAATTATACAGCTCACATCACTTCATGGTTTGATCTTTACTGAGTTGACCTATCAGCAGGAAACCTATGCTACAAATGATGATTACTCTGTCATCTGTGACAATGATCCATAATGAAATGCATTGAATTTGCTTTCAGGCTATGACGATTTATCTGATCGAATAGACTTTATTATTTGTCTTGGAGGAGACGGCACCTTACTTTACGCATCATCCTTATTCCAGGTAAATCTGGTTGTTTCTCCCCAGAAGGAGCTTCATGGATTTCAGGGTCAGTGTTGGGACTCACATTTGACTTTTTAAAAAAAGAAAGCTGCCCAAAGGAATCTTGTGATCTCCGTGATGGGATCCTCCCGTTTCGGGTATTAATTTGAATCTTGTACCAATTCCCGGGAATCTATAACATTCAACAACACTGATGCCATTGAGCAGAGTTGACAACCAATAATATTGAAGCATTCTCCTAGACAGCAAGCCAGGAAGTAAAACTGAATTTTTGACTTTACCATTTTATAATAAAACCATAAACTGTTGGATATTACACATGTTTAGGGGCAAAGCTGAATTGTCATATACTTTCCTAATTTTTTTTAAAATATGGGATTTCTCTTGTAATGGTGATTTTTTTTTTACATGTGGTATTTTTGGGGAGTGGGAAGAGTTTCAGCAGAGACATTGTGGGGAAGCAAAGAATCACAGGAGCTTCTGGATTTATATGTTTATTTACACACAGGCACCCAGACAGAGATCCAGGGCACACCACGCCACAACATACACCACACTCTCTCATGCACTCTCACTCTCGCACATCAGTTTCATGGTATCATGCCAGCAAACACCGACTTATCTATTTACTGTAACTACTGTAGATTGTTTGATAGCTTCATGAGCACATTCGGCAGCACGACCAAAAGGAGCTGAATTACACTCGGTACTTTGACAATTGTGCTATTTGCACCATTCAATTTTAGCAAACCAGCCTTAAATCAGATTTGAGATTTATCCATGTGCGAAAAAGGTATAAGATATTTGCAGCCGAGTGAATGTTTCCGCCCCTTGACACAGTTTGTGTAATATTCATTGCTATTACCTTTGCACTATCCAGGCCATTAGATTTATTTTTCTCTCTGTACAGCGAAGGGCTGGAGTGATGGGCAGATGGATTGGACACTCCATACCCTGAAACAAACATCATTCTATGTGATAATGCCCCCCGGTGTTTTTAACAGAAGAACTTGTTTTCAATAATCTACTTCCTTTATGAAAGTTCTTCCCTGTCTGATTTACTGAATATGCAGGAGCTGATAAACTAAGTAAATATGTAGCAGCGCAAGATTCCTGAACTGTGTTGCTATAGCAACAGATTAAATGTGTATGCAGTTGGGCAACTCATTGTCTGAAAATATTTTCATTAACATGCCTTTATTCCCAGGAGATTGTTGTTTACTGGGCATTTTATGCTGTATTTTTTTGTTTAAAACAGGGTAGTGTACCACCAGTGATGGCATTTCACCTCGGATCTCTGGGTTTCCTGACGCCATTTAACTTTGATACCTATCAGTCACAAGTCACACAAGTAATTGAAGGTACCTTCCAGTTTCATTGTAATCCAAAGAATTGAGTTTCACAAATGAGGCAAAATACACAATTCAGAAATTAAGCTCGAGTCAAAATGAGTTGATCCAAATAATCTATGGAGATGCATACATCCATCACCTAAATTCTGAACTTGTCTGTAATGTAAATGAAGCTAGTCTGAGACTTAAAATCAGTTTTAATTTGCTGTAATTCAGACTGCAGCACTACCGAACTCAACAGTGAGCCACGTTTGAGGCAGGTAACCCTGAGAGCTGTGCGCTATTACATTTCTGCTTCTGTGACCCACACCCTACTTCTTGCTAAGAATATACAATTGAATTCACTCCATCCATGTCCAACAGCAACTTGATGCATTTTTGTAGTGCCTCCAGTGAAACAAAACATTCCAAAGTGCTTTGTGTGGGAGGGTTATGAAGCACGTCCGATCAGGAGATGGTCAGGCAGATGTTGCAAATTGGTGAGATGTGGTGTTTCTAAAGTGTAGTAAGTCCTCAGCAAACCTCAGCTGGTTAAATTCCTTTGGTGATTGTGAATCAACCTGTTGTGATCTTTGTAACTCTCTCTCCAGATAAGTAATCAGGGCAGAAGTGCTTTGCTCCCCTTTATTGGAGAGCAATGACCCAATGCCCAATTCTTGAAATCAGTGTAATTTTGTTCAAGGAAGGAATGTAAATTAATAGGCACTTAGCAGAATGTTCCAAAGCAGCAATTTAACCCACAGGTTTCTGCAAATGAAGAAACCATGAGAATTGTGCTCACGGTTCCTATCAACAGTGTGCTGAGACGAAACTGGAACTTTAAGTAATCATGCCCATAATATTTCTAATAATAGAACAGTATTTTATTCTGACTCTGAGACTTGTTTCAGACATTGAGTAGAGGGAGTGAGATACTAGTGAAAGATTAATGAACACACGACTTAAAAGCCAAAACTGTTGACATAACTGTTAATGATTCTTCTCTGCAGTTGAGATTGGATGTATTGTAATGATTTAGCTGTGTATGTACTGAAATACTTTATCAAATTTGTATTTCTAAACGTTGGTGCTCGGCTTTGTCACGTAGTCAAATCAGATTTGAACTTTACTAAGTCACTGATTAAATCAAACTGCCCAGTAGGCTTTTGTGCTGTTTGGTAGTTGGAAAAATGTGAACAATTTCTCAACGTGTGAATCCTTTGCCAGGGAATGTTGCCATTATCCTGCGAAGCCGCCTCAAGGTCAAAGTGGTGAAGGAAAACTGGGAAAAGAGAGGCTGCCAGGAGCACACTGTGGAGGAGAACAGACTGATAGTGACCAAGCACGGGGACAATGAGTTAGGAAAACGAGCAATGCAGTATCAGGTGAGGTTGATCCCGGCTGGAGTAGAAAGCGGATGTTGTATTGTGTGATGAATTAGGTCAGAAGTCACACAACACCAGCTTATAGTCTAACAAGTTTATTGGAAGTCATTAGGTGAAGACTCCACCTGATGAAGGAGCGAGGCTCCAAAAGCTTGTGATTTCAAATAAACCTGTTGGACTATAACCTGGTGTCATGTGACTTCTGACCTTATCCCCCCAACCAACACCAGCACCTTCACATTGTCACGAATCAGGACTAAAGCAGCCACCACATGAAGATGTCAGAGTCGTGAATGCAGATTTGATTCTTTTTTTAACTAAGTTATTACATTTGGAGGCTTTGTCCTGAGAATCAAAGGAATTTCAGAATTGAATCATAAAAGTAATCCAGATTGACTTGTTCCACAGCTGAAGGCTTGGCAGTACACGCCTGCTGCTTCCCTTATGACTGACCAGGGTGGGGTCTAAGGAGGTTAAGTAACCTCCAGCCTCTCGCATCCCCATTGGGTACATTTCCCATTGGATAGAAGCACCTTCTTCTGTTGAAATTGTGATGACCGATAAAATTAAGCCATTAACATCTCCGCACAGTCCCAAAATTAAAGGGCAAGATTTAAAATTCTCCCGCTTGTATAATCAAATTCAATTCACAAAAGATTCCCCAGCGGAAGGTTTGGATGAGGCAATAGCTGGAAGCTGCTGGTGTCAGGTTTGAGTTTGAACCTGGGTTTTCCCCAGTTCTTCCCTTGGTCGTTTCTCCCATCACCTGGAGTTTGCTCCAGTGAGTTTGGACGATGAGTCCTGAGCTGTCCCAGAGGGTTTGCTAGTGAAGCATTCTGTGTTTCTCAGTTGGCTGTGCAATAGGGGAAGCTGGATGGAGTCTGTGATGGCAGCGCTCTGATTCGAATGGTGTTCTGTGGTTTTGGGCAGTGTTTCAACCTGGGAGCCTTTGTTTCTACCAAAGCCTTTGCTGTAATGTCCTGTCAATCAGAAGTTGAAAATGTTCTTTGCACATGTATTGCATCAGTTTACCAGCTGCCAGAAACATGCTGAATGTTGCTGCTGTGGGATTGTGGTCTTTGATCACTGGGGCTTTCTCCTCCTCACTTCATTTCCCTTCATCTCATAGGGCAGGTCCCACAAACTGCCCCCAGCACTTTGCAGATCAGACACCATCGTCAAGCTGGCCGCTCGGAGGTCCGTTTCCACCCACAGACACTCCCGACCGTGCACACACACTGTTCCACACACACCCCCCCCCGCAGACACGTGTGCACACCATGCACACTCACCTCACACACCCGAAACCCGTATCCTACACACGTCACTCACTTGCACTCACTCTGTTGCTCACAGACACAGTCACTAACCCTTTCATCCAGCCACTTCTTCACTTCCCTGAACCTGAGGAATTCGTTGTTGTGAGCTCTGTGCAGCTTTAACTAACTCTCCAGCCCCAGAATAAAATTATACGCATCAGTCAGAAAGTATTTGCCTCCAATCTCCGCAACATATTAATTAATAATTTCTGGAAAATGAGCCTGTTTTTCTCGCTGTCCAACTGCTCAGGTCCTGAATGAGGTTGTGATTGACCGTGGTCCTTCATCCTATCTCTCCAATGTTGATTTGTTTCTGAATGGCCGCCTGATAACATCTGTCCAAGGAGATGGTAAGATTGAAGTCTGTGAAGCACAGAATTGATTATTGAAGATGTGTTTGAAAAATCAGCCTCCGATTCGGGTTTGAAAAATAAGACAAAAATTTATAACAAGATGTTCCCGTATAGCAGGGGATGTTGGGTGTTTGAGTTAGTGAATGACAACACATCCCAGATGGCAAAATGATTATTCACCTCAGGGCAAACTGGATGTTGAAAATTTCCTACCTGGAAATAAGACCAACTGTCTAAAAATCTTGATGAGCGATAAATTAGGGGGTCAGAATTTCTTCCCAGTTAAGGAGAAATCTGTTCACTCAGAGGTTTGTGATTCTTTGGAGATCATCAGAGCAGGGATTGGTGGATGCTGAACCATTGAGCAGGGTTGCAGTTATGATCAGGAGATATTTGGGCACAAAGGGAATCGATAGAGAGAGGGGAGCGGCCACGAAACTGTGGTTGATGCAGGTGATCAGCCATGACCTTATTTAATGGTAGATTAGGTTCAAGGGACTGAATGGCCTACTCCCCTTTCTTGTGTAAAGGGGCTAGAGGTGAACAGGACCTGGGAGAGAGGATAAGGCCAGCAGGGATTTTGGATAGTCTCTGATGATTGAAAGGTAAGGATGGCCCAGAAAGTGAAGGATCAGTCCTGTCAGGAGTCTGTTGTGGATGAGGAGCTGAGGCAGGAACAGAGATGCTTTCTGTTTGTTCCAGCGCTGTGAGCATTGCCAATGGTGACGGAGTTGATTGCCCCAGAGAGGAGCTGCTGCCTTGAACCACTGTGATGTGCCTATGCTCCCCCGCCCAGTGCTGTGAGGGAGGGAGGACCAGGATTTTGACCCAGGAAAGGAACGATGATCTATTCCCCGGTCAGGATGGTGTATGGCAGGCAATGGTGCTTCCATGCATTTCCAGCTGGGAGAGGCTGCAGGGCTGGGAAGGGGCTGTTGGAGCAGGGTCGTGAAGTGTCTCTAATGCAGTTGGCCTTTTTTCCACCCCCCCCCCCCCCCCCCCCCCCCCCCCCCCCCCTAACCCTAACCCCACCCCTAACCCGCCCGAGGCTGGTCGCG